TCCAATGCTCTCTCCTGCAAAAAAAAAACAAAAGACAACAGGAGCAGAACCTAGTCTTTTCCTCGTGTATCTGGTTGCCCCGAAAAACAGTCATTCCCTTTGGTTCGGTAACCCCCAAAGGTCCGGTTTTTTGAAGATCATGGGGGGGCCCGGTGGGGTCCGTTGTTTTTTAGTTATAGAAAACCACCGGGAAAGTCAAATTTTTCTAATTTTTTAGTGAAGGCCACCTGGCGGACGGGTCTTTTTATTTCTTTTCTAAACACAGAGCAAAGGATCCGTTTTTCCTCAGGTTCCCCTTAATGGGAGCGTAATTGGCAAGGTTTTTATCCGGGTTTTTGTGAGGACAGGGCGAGGGACCTGTTTTTTCTCCGGTTTTTCTGGGGCCACGCGGCAAGGCATGGTTTGTTTTAAGTTTTTTTTGGGACCAGCCGGAGGGCCGTGGTTTTTTCACGGGTATCCGGGATGGCAGGGGGAGGGGCGGGGGTTGTCCAGTGTATATCTGTGATGGCAGGCTGAGAGGTTGTCTCCTGTATCTGTGATGGCAGGCTGAGTGACGTGGTTTGTCTACGTGTATCTGTGATGGCAGGCTGAGTGACGTGGTTTGTCTGCGTGTATCTGTGATGGCAGTCTGAGTGACGTGGTTTGTCTGCGTGTATCTGTGATGGCAGGCTGAGTGACGTGGTTTGTCTGCGTGTATCTGTGATGGCAGGCTGAGTGACGTGGTTTGTCTAGTGTATCTGTGATGGCAGGCTGAGTGACGTGGTTTGTCTGCGTGTATCTGTGATGGCAGGCTGAGTGACGTGGTTTGTCTGCGTGTATCTGTGATGGCAGGCTGAGTGACGTGGTTTGTCTACGTGTATCTGATGGCAGGCTGAGTGACGTGGTTTGTCTGCGTGTATCTGTGATGGCAGGGTGAGAGATATGGTTTGTCTAGGGTTCTCTGTGATGGTCGCCCAATGACGGAATTGCTTAATGGCACATTTCTCAGAACGTGTCCCAGTCGTTCAGTAGCACATGACTAATTCTCACAGTAACCCTAGGACAGTGATGGCGAACCTATGACACGCGTGTTCAGAGGTGACATGCGAACTCATTTTTTTGGTTGATTTTTCTTTGTTTAATGGCATTTTAATATATAAAATAAATATCAAAAATACAAGTCTTTGTTTTACTATGGTTGCAAATATCAAAAAATTTCTATATGTGACACGGCCCCAGAGTTAAGTTAGGGTTTTTCAAAATGCTGACACGCCAAGCTCAAAAGGTTCGCCATCACCGCCCTAGGATGTGGCAACTGTCATTTCCACTGTATAGGTCAGGGGTCCTCAAACTTTTTAAACAGGGGCCAGTTCACTGTCCCTCAGACCGTTGAAGGGCCGGACTATAGTTTAAAAAAAAACTATGAACAAAGTCCTATGCACACAGCGGCGGCAAAAACACCCAGCGGGCCGGATAAACGTTTTCGGCGGGCCGCATGTGGCCCGTGGGCCGTAGTTTGAGGACCCCTGGTATAGGTGAGGACACAGGCAGAGAAGCCAGGTCTTTCCCTGCGGTCACACAGCCAGGTGAGCCCAGGCATCAGGCTCTGACCTGTGCCCTCACCACACAGACCACCGCCCGGGAGCGCAGGTGTGTTTCCGTCATTAGAGCGTTGACAGTGTCCATTCTGGGCCCTGCTCCAGCAATGCCGCGATGCAGGAGCTCCAAGGAGGTTTGGACGCAGCCCCTGACAGCAGCAGCCGCCGAGGTTAGAGAAGCTGAGGCTCCTGCCTGGGCCTTCACAGTATCGGGAGTCGATGGTGCTGACTCCCTTTTTTTAGGAGGTGTTTTGCCCCTTTCGTGGGCCAAAGGAAGGTTGCGTGTGGGAGAAGACAATAGAGCTGCTTTATTTTGAGAGTCTCAGCTGATGATAACTTGAGCATGACTTCACTGAAATAGAGACCAGTTGTACTCTTAGGTGGTTATCTCTGCCTCCTTGAGTTCCCAGAGGCAGAAGAGTTGAGACTGTCCTTTTACTTTTGCTGCCTCCCCTCTCTTCCCCACCCTCCGGTGCAGGTACCTTGAGGTGATGCGGAAACTCCAGAAAACATACAGGATGGAGCCAGCCGGCAGCCAGGGAGTGTGGGGCCTGGATGACTTCCAGTTTCTGCCCTTCATCTGGGGCAGTTCACAGCTGATAGGTACTGAAGGGGCCAGGTACCCCTCCACACACACCTCCCCGCCAGAGTGCATTCTGTGTCCCTCCTCCCAACCCTCCTCCGTCCCTCCTGCCTTCTCTCCTGCCCAGAGAGTGACATCTGGTAAGGCACACATTAGACTGGCTATCGATGGAGGCTGCTTGCTGCCGACCTGCTGCACGCCAGCGTGGCAGGCTGCGGAGGCGGTGGCAGAGTTCCGCCGAGATCATGGAATGTGACCTGGGCTGGAGCAGAGGCCCTCGCCTGGCGCATAATGGACTGGTGTGAAATGCGCCCCAGCTCCTGGCAGCAGCTGTGGGGTTTTATGTTGAAAATCAGGGGCTCTTTGACTCAGTGACCAGTGTCATCCGCTGTCATTATTGAGCCACCTGCAAGGGGCCCATCAGGGAGCTGCCACCAGGTGCTGGGCAGTGGGCCGCTTGCTGTGGGCCTGCTCTGGTGGACCCCCGCTTCCCCCTGGGCCAGCAGCAGTGGGTGAGTGCAGTGATAACTGTCTCGGCGTAGGTTGAACTGCCTGTGAATATCAGTAAATGGCCATGTGCTGGGCACTGCTCTGTGCCAGGCCCTGTCTGAGTGCTCAGGTGGATTATCCCCCAGGCCTCTCAGGGAGCCTGGGAACCATTAGCGGACCCCTGTGCAGGCACCGCCGAGTGCTCTCTGTGATTGCCAGGTGGCACTCAGCAGCCCTACCAGGGAGGTGCTGTGCTTGTCCCCATTGCACAGAGGAGGGAACTGAGCCACATGGTTAGAAAGCAGCAGAGCCGCAGCTTGTTCCACTGGAACATACACACGCACCAGGCCATTTATTGCTCCTGTGAGGTCCAGTGTTCAGGGCACACAGGCAGGACTGTGGCCCTGGGGTGGGTGTGGACCGTGTGGGCCAAGGTGGCATGAGCACCTGGTTCTGAACCCCGGGGCTCTTTGCTGTTCCCAGATCACCCGTATCTGGAGCCCAGGCACTTTGTCGATGAGAAGGCCGTGAACGAGAATCACAAGGACTACATGTTCCTGGAGTGTATCCTGTTCATCACCGAGGTGAGGGGAAGGGGGTGAGGGAGAAGCCCACGGCAGCCTCCAGGCTGGAATAAACAGAGATGGTGGCTTTGGACAGAGGAGCCAGAACTGCTGCTCAAAGATGGCAGGGCTGGCCCCGGAAGGCTGGTCATTGAAAAGGAAGCCCCACTAGGCCTCTCTGAAAAGTTGTCAGCTTCTGACCATCCAGGATCTCCTCCCCTCAGTTGGCCGCCTGGGGTTTCTACAGGAGACGAGAGACTAAGACTCGCTCGCTAGCAGACTCAGGGACTGAAGCAGCAGGCCTGACGGTGAGGGGTGTCGGCATCTTGCAGGCGGGGCCCAAGGGTCTGTAGAGCTCCGTGCGAGCGGCTGTGTGGGATGAAGCCATTGCAGGAGCTGGAGAGATGCTGGAGTGGACGGCAGGACAGATTCCTCTGAAGGGATGCGTCTCTGTCAGGGCCGGAGGACGGGCAGGTGAAGGGCCACAGGTGAAAACCAGCAGGCCTGGGCCTCCCGCAGTGCAGCCTTGGACTGCTTCCTCAAGATCGCATTGGGAGCTTGTTAAAACGCACATCCCTTGCCTTGGCTGGTTTGCTCAATGGTTAGAACGTTGGCCCTCGGACCAAGGGGTCTCCGGTTGGATTCCTAGTCAAGAGCACATACCTTAATTGCAGGTTCAATCCCCAGCGAGAGGCAACCAATCAATGTGACTCGTTCTCCACCCCCCATCCACTCTGTCTAAAAAAACCCCCCCAAACAAAAAGAGAATGGAAAAAATACACTTCTCAGGCGAGGATTTTAAGAAAAGCACATTCCTGGGCCCCACCCCAGCTTACAGAATCAGTCTCGGAGGACGAGAGCCAGAAGTCTGTATTTAAACACACTTTTCAGGTGACTGCACGTGGAAGTCAGGAACCCATTGCTCTCAGGGCCTCTGCCAGGAGGGCCTGCCATTCTTCCCGCCGGTACTGCCCTCCCCCCGCTTCCACAGGGCCTGGCTCGCTGGCTGGAGAAGGTCTGTGTCCGCTCTCTTTCCTGATGCTCACATGCAGGCCTGCTGGCCCCGGGGTTGTCCCTGGCACACCTGTGGACCCCTACCTGTGGGGCTGCTGACTTGGCTGCCCGTTCTGAGCGCCCTGAAGAGGGGGAGAAGCCTGGGTAAGCAGCTGGGGCTCCAGGCTCCTCCTGGTCAGCATTCAGCTCAGGCTTCTGCCCAACTCCAGAGGCCAGAGGGGAATGACACGTTTTTCCAAGTCAGCAAATGGACCCGGACTGACGGCTGGGCGGCCCCACTTCGTTCTCAGAGATGTGCTGCCTTCAGCAGTGTAGCCGCCCAAGGTCGGCAGGACGGTGGGCAGCCTGGCTCACTGCTGAGAGCCGGTCACGTGTTGCTCCCTCCAGAGTGGAATGCAAGGGTCGGCAGAGCCCGGGGGAGAGGGGGGGGCAGGAGGAGCTGGAGGAGCAGGATGGGGGGGAAGGGGTGCACGTGTTATGCTGAACAGTGGCTTGGTGTACGTGGGGTAAGAGGCTAAACCAGCGGTTGCCAACGGGTCCGAAAGGTTGGTGACCGGTGGTTTAAGGAAACGTTTGGAGCAGCGGTCACCAGCTGGTGGTCCTCGGACCACTGGTGGTCTGTGAGTCCGAGAGGTTGGCGACCACTGGGCGAAACTGTTTTGGCTCCCCATGGTGGTGGGCCAATCCCTTGGGTCCTTGTCAGTAACCAACAAGGAAGAAGGTGAGGCCGAGCTTCAGGGAATATGGGAATTGACTCCAGGTTAAACTTGGTATTTTTGTTTGTTTGGTTGGTTATGCTGGTATAAAAACTCAAAGTTTGGGACCCAGTTCTTCTGCTAGAGAAAAAAATCCTACAATGGCCACTAGGTGGTGCTAAAGGCATGTCAAACTTGGAGGTGGTTTTAACATTTAACAGGGAGAGGCCTGAACTGGGAGGGGGACCTCTCGGAGGTTCCAACCCTCTCTGCATAGCCTGTTTTCAGTTGGGTCGGTGCTCGGGTACGGTAGTAAACACTGGATGCTAGCCGGGGTGTGCCCAGGGCGGAGGTGACCAGTGAGGGCCCATTTCACCCACCTGGCTTGGCTGCTGATTGCAGCATCGACGCTACCCCAACCCCTACCCCCTGCACCTCAGACCAGCATTTTGTAGCCCCTGAAGGATGGATGAGTGAGGGATCTGGCCTGGCACACCCTGACACAGGGAGGCCCGAGGCCTGGCACTGGCACGCGGGGACCAGGAGCCCGTGTGCGGCTCTGTGTGCTTTGTCCGGAAGGGGCAGCGTCCCTCGGTGGGGCTGGTGCAGTTGGAGATGAAACAAAACCAGTAGGAGATGGAACCGGGCCTCTCCCCCGGCTGCTCTCTTCCTGCCCTGCTAGCCCTGGGCATCCCAGAAGAGGGACCCGCCTGGCAGAGCTGCTGTGGCGTCGGAAATGCCGCCCGGCGCCTTTAAGAGCAGGGCAGGCAGGAAAGAATTTCAGTTTCAATCTGGCTTCTAAATTTGGAGTTTTGGGAAGGGAGGGATCAGATTTCAGCTGGAAGGGAAGGAGCTGACAGGAAGGCGCTGTGCAGAGCCTCCCCCACCCCGCCCCATCCCCCCTTGGTTACTGACAGAGGAACCATTTACAAAAGGCCGATTCTCCTGGGAGTGGAGAGGCAGGAACGCAGCGTCTGTGAGTAATTTCCTGCTCAATATGGCTGCTCTGACTCACACGATTCCCCTGGGGTCACTGCGGGCCTGCAGCCGGCTTGCTTGTTCTCGCTCGCTCTCTCCTCCCTTTGTGGCTAGAAGGAGCTAGTTTTTTTTGTCTTCTTGCCCCATTCCTTCCCCCTCATCTGTTTTCCTTTCCCAGAGTTGCAAGTCTCCTTTTGAAGGACTTAGGGAGACCTTGGGAGGCAGCTCTGGCTTTTTCCCGGGGGAGTCAGGGCCACTGGGGCTCTGGAGCTCGGCCCCCCTGGCTCTGCAGCAGGCCAGGCCAGAGACCTCGGGGCCCTTGCCCATGCCCTGAGGGTGAGGCTGGCCCAGGAGGCAGAGCCTGAGCGCCCTGCTGAGCAGGCCCCTGGAGCTGCTGTGGGACGAAACCACAGGGTAGCAGCAGGGTCCTCCTGATGGTGTGCTCATGGCACCTGACCAGAGTGAACGTGGTCCCCGCTCCGGTGTCCCTGAGCTCAGGTCCTGGAGGGAGGTATGCAAGAGAGGCCTGGAGCCCAGCCCCGTCCCCAAGGGCAGAGAGCCTGCGGAGGGGGCGGGGCCAAGGGGGTGAAGGTTGGGGTGGAGCCTGCTTGAGTGGGACAGTTGGAACCAAGATCCCTGAAGGCCAGGCTCCTGCAGGCTGGGGCTCCTGGCTACCCCCTCAGATAGAGGAGGGGGAAGATTCCGGGTGAAGGGACTGGCCCAGGAGAAGCCCTGTGGGCACCAGGGTGGATTTTGTCTCTAATGCAGCGGTTCTCAACCTGTGGGTCGCGACCCCTTTGGGGGTCAAACGACCCTTTCACAGGGGTCGCCTAAGACCATCGGAAAACACATATATAATTACATATTGTTTTGTGATTAATCACTATGCTTTAATTATGTTCAATTTGTAACAATGAAAATACATCTTGCATATCAGATATTTACATGACGATTCGTAACAGTAGCAACATTACAGTTATGAAGTAGCAATGAAAGTAGTTTTATGGTTGGGGGTCACCACAACATGAGGAACTGTATTAAAGGGTCACGGCATTAGGAAGGTTGAGAACCACTGGTCTAATGCCTTGGGCTGCGGCCTCACTGTTGGAGGAAGGAGCCTGTTGTACTGAATTTGGGGGTTGAGACAGGCTTTTGGGGGACTTGGGTCAGGAGAGAGAGATGACAGTTTTGTAGAGTTGCCCTTACTAAAGAAGTGGAAAGGCCTGTGGGGTCACCTGGCAGAGACCACAGCCAAGGGCAGGGCTGGGGTGGTGATGTGCTCTTGGGTCTTTATTCTGTGATGCCCAATATGCAGAGAGAGCTTTGGACCCTCCTTCCTCCCCAGAATAGCTCTCCCTCAGCCCCACCTCCACGCACAGCCTCTTCTGGAATCTTCCACACACTCGGGGTCCAAGTCTGCGCTTCCTTGCCAGCTTAGCCTCTTTGCTTTTTAAACTCTTTCTTCTGAAGCCCTGTTCCCCCAGCATCCATGCTGCTTCTCTGCCAAGGAGGGGGCAGTGCTGAGGGGACTGACCTGCTTGCTTGTTAAATGCCAACGTGCTGGCCTCGTGCTGAGGGGCACACTCCAGCACACACACTTCCCAGGCCCAGCGCTGTGGTGTCTGATGCCCCGAGAACTCCATGACCATGCTGCTTGATACGGTTTCTTCCTTCCCAGAGGCCAGCTTTTTGGCCAGAGGAGGGACCGGAATGGAGCTGTCCTGCTCCTCCTGCCTGTCCCTTGCTGGTGTGGTTGCCCTCCCTTTCATACTTCCTGGCCAGGTCGGGCCGGTTTTCTAAACAGACCTTCCTCCTGGATCTGCAGCAGGTGCCCTTACTCCCCCTCTGCAGTTGGTGCCTGGGTTTGGTCTTACCCAGCTTGGCCCTCCTCCTACCCACCCCTCCCTGGGCTCTCCTAGCTCTGCCAGTGGCAGGCGCAGGCCAGGTGCCCAGTGCAGAGCCCACCCTGTGTGGGGGGCTGGGCTGGGGAAGTGGGGGTCCAGGCTGGTGGGAGTGGGTCCCCATGCTGGCAGAGGCACCCTGAGGCCCTGGGGAGTTTGGGTGGAGATTTTGTTTTTCTGAGGCTGCTGGGTTTGGTGGGTGTTGGGAATCAGACCCCTCCCTTTTTGTGGCTGTGGAAGAAAGAGGTTGACTAGGGATTATGTTTTCCCAGTGGGTCTTGCAGGCCAAGAGGGACCCTGTCTGTCAGTTAGTGTGCCTGTAGGTGTGTGTGCCCCACAGGCAGTTGCTGTGGCCTGGTGCCCATGTGTGCGTGTGCATGTGTGTGTGAGTGCCTGCATCTGTGCATCTGTGCATCTGTGTATGCATGCTTGACCTTGCCATAGGGGAGCAGGGCATGGGCTCCCAGGTGGCCCACCTTTCCAGCTGTGGACTCTCTTTTCCAGATGAAGACGGGCCCCTTTGCCGAGCACTCCAACCAGTTGTGGAACATCAGCGCTGTCCCCACCTGGTCCAAAGTGAACCAGGGTCTCATCCGCATGTATAAGGCCGAGGTGAGTGGGGGCTGGCTGGGGCCCTTGGTCCTGGGGCTGCTGTCCCCCCATCCCCACTCCACTGTTGTGCTCTGAGTTTTGGGCCAGTCCTTCTGACACTTGAGGCCTCAGAATTTCCATCTGTGGGATGGGCTTTGAGAAAAGCACTGGACTGAGGCCCAGGCCCTGCTGCCGGGGGGTGTGCTGGAGGGAAAATCTCCATTCCCACTGGTCAGAGGCCAGGGGCCCCTCGTAGCTGTCACCATGGGACACAGACGGAGACAGGCTTGGAAAAGGGTGTCATCCTTTGGAGGCATCTTCCAGAGTGGTGCTTCTCTAACTCTGGTATCTGATCTCTGGAGAGGTGGGACCTGGCATTTTTAAAAAATATGTTTTTATTGATTTCAGAGAGCAATGGAGAGGGAGAGAGAGAAACATGGATGATGAGAGAGAATCATTGATCCGCTGCCTTCTGCATGTCCCACACCCAGGGACTGAGCCCACAACCCCGGCATGTGCCCTGCCCGGGAATTGAACTGTAACCTCCTGGTTCATAGGTCAACGCTCAACCACTGAGCCACGCTGGCCGGGCCGGAGCTGGCATTTTTAATGACCACTTGAGGTGGTCCTCCCCCACCCCCAGTCAGAGTTGCCAGAGCTTCCTCCACGGCGGGGGGGGGGGGGGGGGGTTAGGCAGTTGCTGGGCTTCTGAGGGTGTCCCCTGCCTTCTTTCCTTGTCCTTCTTGGCACCCTTCTCCCAGCCCAGGAGGTGGCTTTTCTCTTGCCAGCAGGGAGGAGACGTTTTATCCTGCCCTGTCCTTTCCACAGCTCCGTCCACGTCTGGGGCAGAGCAATCAGCTGCCTGACCTTGGCCTGGGAGGGCCTGGCTGTGAAGTCCCTCACCTAGAGCCGTTGGTCCCCAAAGTCCCCTCCTTTCGCCTTAGACGGGGTCTAAGTATTGTCTGTGGTGCCCTCTGACCCTTGGCCCTCCGGCTGCCTCCCGTGGAGGAGGGTCTGTCTCTGGGCCACTGCATTGCACCCCGCACTCAGCCCAGCAGCAGGCAGGGCGCAGTGAGCGGGCTGGTGGGGTTTGGTAGTTCAAAGGCTTTCAGTTGGCCTGGCCCTGAAGGGGTTAATGGTACTGGAACTGACCGGGTCTGGCCCTCTCTTTCCTTTCCGCCCCTCCCCCTCCTGTCCTTTTCCTCTGGACTTCACATCCTGTGTTTAGGTTCCAGCCCACATACCTCTCTAATCTGAGAGGAGCGTTAGCTGGGGCTCCACAGGCCCCTTCCCGGCAGCCACCGGCCCTCTGCTGGACTCTCTGCCTGGAGAGCACCGCCCTCTGGGGGTGCTGTTTGTTTCTGACTGGCCCCCTGCCCCCGCCCCCCCCCCAGTCTCTCAGTGGGTGCTGATGGGCAACTCTATCACCCTGATGAGCCCTCACCCCTGCTGGCGGCTGTGTGCGGTATGGGAGGAGCATATGGGAGGAGCCAAGGGCCCCTCGCACCCCACCCCCACTCCTGGGACGTGCCTATCACAGGCAGGACCCTGGTGCCTTTCCTGTTTGGGTTCTTAAGGTGCTGTCCTGCAGGCTCTTAGTTGAGTAACTAAACTTATCCTGACCTGGGCCCTTAAGGGCGGGACAGGAGACCCACCACCCTTCTGCACCTGCCCTTCCAGAGGCCAGTGAACTCTGGTTGACAGAGGATGAGGGAGGAGCAAACTCAGATCCAAAAGGTGATAGTGTCCTGAGGACAGACAGTCCTGTGTGGCAGTTGTCAGTATTTCTATGGATGTTGAACACAAGGAGGACAGGGACCAAAACTACCTGCAGCTCAGGACCAGATGGAGGGAGCATGAGCAGAAAACACGGGAAATCCCAGCTCCGGGTGCACGCAGGCACAGTGCGAGCTTGCAGCCTTGCCAGGCACAGGGTGGCGGCCAGACTTCTTTGTGGGAACTCAGAAACCTGAGGAACACCGGGTCTCTGTGACCTTGCCCCCTGGTCTTTGGTCCCTGGTGTCTGTGGGGTCCCATGCACCCTGTCCAGAGAGCCAAGGGAAGGACTTGCTTTTTCCAGACCCGTTCAGTCTTGTGGGAAGCCCAGC